CCCCCCCCATTCAAAACAAACTAGTAATCCCCCACTCCCGGAACTTCGACTCCTCCATGTCCAATATTACCCGAATTCTACTCCACCTTCGCGTGCATGCAAAAGTGCTCGTATAACCGGGCACTGTACGTGGACAGCGTCCAGCCCATGGATAAAACTGAAAATGGCTCGTGAATACGTATTCCGTGCAGTGCTCCGCGCGTTAGGTATACTCCGGGCCCATTGAATATCCCCCCGGTACCTGTGTACACGCGTACATGTCTCCCATCAAATCACACGCTTTGGCCGTTCACCCACCGCGTGTGGCATTCTGGCTATGTAACACATATAACTCGCTGGAACTGTCGGTATGGTTATGCCAATATGATTGGGTTTTTGCGTAAACCTACGGGTTGCTCCATAAACTCGCACTTTACGAGTCTGATTACGACCCTCTTCACCCCCCGATCTGTGAAGCCCCCCCCCCCTCCGCCCTTTTGAATTCTCAATATGAATACACATATGCGCGTGCTGTAGTTTACGCCTGAGATGGTCGTAAATGAATTGTATGGCCATATCCCTAGACCCACCTTTCCCCCGATTTTTCAGTGTCATTCTGGTTCAGTGGCGTCAGAGGAGGAGGGGAGGGTAGGGGGGAGGGGAGGGTTGGGGGGAGATGCTGGGGAAGCAGTAAAATATTTTACATTTTTTATCGTCAATAAACTGCCTCCAAATCGATACACGCCGAATAAAAGATATCGTTTCAAATAGTTTTTGTGGTATTCGATATATCTTTCCCGTTTATTATCCCCCTATGTCGCATATGGGGTAATTCACCTCTGCACTGTCCCGGTTTGTGCTCAGCTGGCAATTATTATGGCGCGTTTATCAAGAGCTATAGTTATAGTTCTGTCGCTGGGATTTTTTTTCGCGAAAAGTCCTCGTCCTTTCTGTTGCTGCAGCGGTTTTTTTTGAGCTTTTAAGGGATAGGCTATTTTATAACCAACCCCTTGGCTCTTCTTATTTTGGCGTCATACCGAGACCTCCCACCCTTGGCGCACTTTTACCTTCTAGTTTCTTATGGCGCACACCCGCCCCCTTGCGGTTTTGTCGTCTTCCGGTGAGTGGGGGGGCGAGGGGGGAGGGAAAAAATGAAAAAAGGGGGCAAAAAGTGCTGAAAGCGCACGTGGCTCCCAGATCCGTGGTGCCTTGCAGTGTAGAGGAAAATAAAGAAAGAAGAAGATAAATCTCTGCGGACGTTTATGATGACGATAAAATGAAACATCGTCCAGCCATTTTGAAAGACTGAAATTGTTTCTGGAATAGCCACGGTTTAGTCTTTTTTATGCTGTACGGTTGTCTGTTATTGTTTCAATTTCGTATGTGGTGAAAAAAGTTGGGAAATTGAGGGAATAGGATGGTCATCGGGGAGAGGAAGACAGTTTTATGCACTGTTGGAGAATTGGACATGAAAATTCTTGGAAAATCTTGAAATTCGCGGCAATCACTCATTCGAAATTTTCGTGTATTTTGGGACTGAACGATCAGTTGAATTCTGGAGTACACTGATGGTAAAATTATTTTTATTGAGGTGTTTCTTTCTTGGAACAAGGATTATGTGCTTGAACCAATTTCAAATCAATAAAATCTTACGGTGAATATCAATTATTTCTTCTGGATACATTTACTTGAGTCAAATAATTTACTTGGAACAACGTATGATCGTGTTGACTGAGATAACAACGTATTTAGTCATGAGAATAATTTTGATTTTTGAGTAAACCAACGAATTTCTGGAGTTGGCAAACTTTTAGCCAGACAGAAATCAAATGCTCCCATTACTGCGACAAATAAAAGGAACTTCAATTCTAGAGAAGTTCAGTTTCTCCCAATCAAATGTATCTCAACAAGAGATAACTGGTATTCACCACGAAATCATGTTTATTTGAAAATTAACATTCGCAATTTTTTAACAACATCTCCAACATTTTTCCATGCTCACGCCTCCGAGCAAAACACCACGCACTTGCCAATGAATCGGTGAAACTCCTGAGCCTTTACATAACCCAGACAATAGTCCCTCGTGACCCTCACGTCGTCAGCGGCAAAAAAATAACTTCATCACCGAAACAAAAAGCTAACCGCGTATTATAACATTAAATGCTCCAACAAATGGGCAGAATCCCAACAATTTCAACCCCCCAGCTACAAAAGGCGAGTAATCCTTCTTCTTCTTTTTTTCCCAAGGTGAAAAAAAAAACGTAAAATGTATCACGTTTCATTTTGCATGGGTTGGCGACACAGGGATATTGTCTCGGGCGCACACCTACATACACTGGAGACCTGCTGCGGTATTCAATTACTAACGAGTTTCAAGTATAAAGCAGTGCACGCGCTTGAATCGCGCCCAGTAAAGGAGCTTGTCACGCGTACATTTTTAACGAGACTGCGCTTTGCAGGCGCGGCCCATACCACAGTTACCCAGCAAACGAAACACCTATATAGGTATATTGAAAGGGCTTTCTACCCTCTGGCTCCAACTTGCGCGCAAGCCGCTCTCGGCCCGGTGTCGCGTCTACGGCCCTTCTCAACCCCAGACTTAATAGCCACGGGCTTGAAGTACACACCGTTGCCACCCTCCGTCCTGCGCCCTTCGTCGCCCCTCAGAAATTTGTCGTCGAGAGACTTTTGCTCACATCATGTACACCTGTCCATATTACACGGACTCTTTAATCTACAAGAGGGTCACTATACGCTTAATCGCACCAATTATATTTTACAAACCTTTGATATGTGTGTCTAGGTTATAAGGTGGGGGAGGAGAATTGAAATTTAATTTCTGTTGCAAGGTTTTTTTTTGAAGACGAGGAAATTGTTCGGAGGCCATTTACTGCTCATTTACTGCTGAAAAAAATTGAAATTTTTTGAGTCGAGGGGACGTCAAGCTCACGTGGTTGGAAGGAAAAAGAATTGAAATTAAATTTTAGTTTCAAATTTTTTTGGAAGCTAGGAAAATGTGATTTTTTTTGGCAAATTCTTGAAAGATTACTATTTACTGTTGCGAAAAATTGAAATTTCATGCAGAGCTGCCTAGTAATTTTTAGGACAGTGTCATTAAATTTGATTGAGAGGAAAAATGACGAAATTTGAATGAAATTTCGCATTTTTAAGCCTCAGAAAAACGATAATTCCTCAAATTAATTGAATTTCGAATGAAAAAATGAATATTTAGTGCCAAATTGGATGAGATTTTCAATTATCTGAATTTTTCCGACTCCTACTAATTTTAGTAGAATAATTGAACTTGAATTTGCAATTTCCATTGATTTTCTCCATAAAATTGTCAATTTTCAACGACGAAATTCCCTTAAATTCCAGTAGACCACAACGAGTCGAAAAATTGAAAAAAAAAGAATTAGAATTCAATTTCAACAATTAAAATTCAATTAAATTCTATTAAAATTCAATACCATTAAATCTCAATTTAATTTTTTTTGTGCAAACTCCAAAAACATGAAATATTTATTATTAACCACAAAAGAATCACTATTGATTCCTCAAAAACTAACACAAAAAACTTATTTTTTTACAATTAACATCCGCGTAAAAACGTGCGAAAAATGCCCGAAATCAGAAAATGTTCCTCGGAACATTGATCCGTTATATCATGTCGTCAAAGATGGAAGCTGCTGTCATATTCTGCACATAAAGTTTGGCCTGCTCGACCAACTCCTGTCCGCTGGCAATACCCTGTTTGGAGCTCTCCTGAGCTGTGCCCAAGGCTTCCCTCACCGTTTCCCTAGCCGAGTCCATGGCCCGACTAGCGACGTCTTGCGCGTAGTCCCAAGCCTCTCCTGCCTTTTCTTTCACACCGTCCAAAGCCTCCTGAGCCCTCTCCTGAAACGTCTTATCTGGCACCGGTAGTCCCTGCGCATCGAACACTATTTCAAATTCAGTGCTTTTTGATGTCGAGGATAAAACTGTAGTTTGAAGGAGAATAACTCGGAATACAATTGGCTGAGAACTCAAAAGTTATTCAAACTATTTGAATTCAGTGAAATAATTATTCAAGTTGAGCGACTGAATGCGCTGAGGGAAATATTATCTTTCGTCCTGTTTGTTTCGTCGTAAAAACCCTTAAATTCCACCGAATTTCCAACCGCCTGAAATTCCTTGGAATTCCAGTGAAATAATATCTTAAAAAATTATTTGTGTCCTAAATAATAGTTACGGGGCGTGTATTCATCCACATTTGGTCAATGTATTGGCGAAATCCCACGAAAAACAACCGAATTGACACAGACCGAATAATTCACCTCTCCCACCCCCGAAGTTATAAATAAAATCAACTCCACTGTTACGAATTTATGAACACACCTGAACAAGGACAGAAGAAGTAACGAGAAAAACCCACGTCATATACATCTTCATGACTCGAGTATCAGCGATACACTGGTGTCCAGCTGTGGTTCATAATTCTGACATAGTTTGTGTCCCTGATACCGTCAGTAGCATTAATCACAGCTTATCCAGATAATCGTATTCATTGTGGAGTCTGAAGCCGGATGGAGCGCACGCAATTGTCATGTGAAGGCAAATTGTGGCCACATCAGGAGTACAATAGAATGGGTTATATCGAAGGATGGAGTTGTAACGTCAGAGGTGGCACTGGGAGAATTATCGCGGTTAATTATGCCCAAGGCGCTGGGGTAATTCCTATTGATGACTCGTGGTTATTGAAATTGGGGAGATACTCGGCTGTAATTATTCCGCGGTATTCTCGCGTGTTTTTTTTTTCAGGCTCACTGGCGCGAGGAGCGGAGCAATTATCAGGGAGATCATTCCCGCCAATAATTTCTTGCAGTGGGATACTGAAACAATGTTTAATGCGCCGGAAGTGTGTTTTTATTCCGAAGGAGGATTTTACGGGGCTCGGGTTAATGATTAGTTTAGGTTTCCTTGAAGTCCGGTTGTAATCACATCTCTTTATTCCTGGCTGTTCTTGCTATTCTGAGATTATTGGATTATTTGAAAAATTGAAGGCACCGGGGAGACCAGAGTCAAGACGTCTTAATTTAAGACATTGGACAAAGAATTGTCTTATGGGTTCAATTTTGTGATGACTGAAATGACGAATGTTTTGAAATTAATCAATTACTCAATTAAATTGCGTGAGAAAATTTTGAAAATAATTATTAATATTATTATTCAGCGTCATTCAAATTACATTTTGCACAGAATTTTTTTTTAACATTCGTTGTTTATGAAAAAATCATCGACATTCTTTAAACCTCTGGTAAACGTAATTTTTTAGACATGAACTTGATTTATGGTGAAATTCTGAATATGAATAAATTTGTTACAATTCCAAACAGATGATTTTAATGATGAAAAATTGATTTTTTATAAATTATTTATAGAAAATGCTGTTAGTTTTAAAAAATTGCAAAATTAAGAGTCGCAAGGGTCAAAATAACAGTGACGAGGGTCAAAATAATCGTCATGAGGGTCAGAATAAGGATCATAAGGGTCAGAAAAAGGGTCGTGAGAGTCAAAATACGAGTGAGGGTCAGAATCAAGGTCATGAGGTTTAGAATAAGGGTCACGAGGTCAGCTTAAGGGCCATGAGGGTCAGGTTAGGGGTGACAACGGTCAGATTAAGGGTCGTGAGAATCAGGTGAAAGGTCGCAAGGGTCAGATTAAGGGTCGCGAGGGGTGGAGTGAGGCATACCCCCCAGTATATTAATAATAATCTACAACAACGGCGTAAATCTGGCTCATGTAAAAATCATTCAATTTAAACCCTCAAATTTAATAACATAAAATGAACAATGAAAATATACCGCAGAAGAAAATTATGTGCAAGCACCATCCAAAGACATTTTCACAATGTCTTTTTTTTTCATTTAATTTTTTTTTCACAGTGTCTTGAAATATAATATAAAATGGGATGAAAACGTCTTAATTTAGACGCCAGTTTTTTCAGCGAGACATTTTCACAAGGGGCTTCATGATAAATTCAACAGCCGTAAATTCCCATTTTATTCAAAATCATGGGAAAACCCATGGAAATTTGAAATACCCTACTGCATTAAAATATATGCGTACGTCTCTGGGCAACTGTTATTACCGCAGCTCACCGACATATCACGAAAAAGGAGTGAGGGAGAATTGTCGACAGGGGGAGGGGGAGGGGGAGGGAGGCTGGAGCCAAAATACGAGACAGCGACTACGCCAAGACCGGATGCGACTGTCACACGACCGAGGATCGTGCATCATCTTCCGACTACTTTTCCACGATATATGCTCGCAAAATTATAGTGGATGATAGTGTATTAGTGGAATTCTCAGGTTCGGTGGCCCTCTCGCGCCCTTTAAACCCTCTAACCCGGGGTTATTAATCCTTCCCAGTGGTGCAGCGAGGTTTGAGTAGGGTGTGTGTATTTTCGTTCGTGCGGGCAGAAACCCGACCGAGCGGAATCCATAGACGTTAATTTATATCGCTCCCTGATCCACACGCCGCGAACGAATGACTCGGCTTTCCGCACGTATCCGTACACACAAAAGATGTTATCCGGTGAAAATCCGGGATGAGTGTGTTGTTGGTTATTATATTAGGGGAAGTGGGTGTTGATATTAATGAACCGGAGTTACTGATTCAAGTTTAGGGGAGGGCAGTGCTTATGGTTGAGGTTGTTGGGAATTGTTCATGAGATTTTCTGGGGATTTTTGGGAATATTAGTGAGGATGGAAATGAAGGGGAAGGGCTTTAGGGGAGGGATGGGGAGACTTTTCACGGTTTATTCAGACACGTATGGGAAATTGAATTGGAGTCAATTTGGGGCTGTAATGGAGTTTAAGGGAAGAAGTCTATTTTTTATTTTTCTGGGAATTCAATGGAATTCTAAATTTTTTAGGATAATAGGAAAACGAGAGTTCTCAAGTTACTTCAATTTTTGAATAATTGAATTATTGAAATAATGACGAAGGCATTTACCGGAATTTTCCGGATTTTTATTCATTTTCGTGGAATAATTAAATTAAAATTGACTGGTTTTATTCCATAATAAAGTTGATATTATAATATAATAAACAGGAGTTCTTGGTTCAATTTTATATCAGAGTACTTTGAATGTTTGCTTTCAGTGGGAATTATTGATGAGATGTGCTTGTGATTTTTATTCACATTACTGAAGATAGAAATTGGAAGGGAACATTTTTATTGAAGGGAAGTGGAGACTGTTCACGTTTTATTTACATACGTGTGGAGAAATTGAATCGGAGAAAATTTGAATCTTTAATGAATTTTAAGGGAGGAAGTGTGAAATTTTTGAATTTTTTTCTTGCGGAGTTCAATTTAATGTCACACGACGAAAGAAATGAGGGAGTCAGGGAATTTTTTATTTTTTTGCTGGAGTTTCAATGGAATTCTAATTTTTTAGGACAACAGGAAGACGAAAATTCCTCAAATTCTTTCCAATTTCAATTAATTAAAAATTCAAGAATATATTTTGCTGAATTTTTCTTATTTTTATTGAATTTCGTGAAAGAATTTAATTGAAATTTCCGTTAGTTCAATTAATTAAGTTGTCCATCATTTTTCCAGCAAATTTAGAATTTTTAATTCCAAAATTTATCTGAATTTTCCTAATCATCATTAAGTTTCACAAAATAATTACATCAAAAATTCAATTCATCCAGTTTCCATTAAATTTTCCATAAAATTCTGAATTTTCAATTCCAAAAATCCATCCGAATTCTCCTCATTTCACTAATATCCGCGAAATAATTGCATGAAAAATGTCCATTCACTCCCTTTCCATTAATTTCCCCGCAAAATCTCGCCTGTTCAATTCCGAAATTCCCGTGAATTCCCCTAAAACAGGACCAGATAAAATTCTCAGAACTGCATCAGCAACTTCAACTGCAACAAGACAGGTCCCCCACGATCAGCCCCCCCATGAGGCATTTGAGTTAGTATCAGCTCACTGAGTGCACCCATAACCGACTCGGCGAATGTTGTCACGTACAACAATGACCGTAGAGTTAGCATACAGAGTTGTTAGATCCCCGGAAATTGTTGGTATCTGCTTTATGGCCAGCTATCTTCCTCGCGATACTTTCCAGCGCAGTGGCCCCAATGCCACTCCAATCTTTCCATTAGCATCATTTGCAATTTGGCGAATGTATGTCTGTCACGTGGCCGTTGAATCAGGCCCGTCTGGATTAAGGTCTGACGCGCATTATGCCATATTCCAGCCAAACTCATATACAGTATAATAAGTAGGTACCGGCTGGGTGTAACTGCCCTCGCACCGCACGCGCCACAACTTTTCATATAACGCACCCTCAAAGTCATTTCATCTAGTATTAAACGTATTATTGTACTGATGTATATAAGCTCCGCATTTACCGTTTATTCCGCACCAATTTTTTAATGGTCTCAACGTATTTCACGACTAATTAGAAATTAAGTTGGTGTTTTATTGATCGTAATTCAAGTAGAGAAACGAGGATTCAAAATTAAGGTATTGAGACAGGAATTGTAGACATTCTACAGAAATTAATCGAGTGGTTTTATATTATTTCAATTTAATTCGCCATTTATGGGGGAAAGTGATTAATGGAAAATTTGATTTTCTGGAAATTATAAAAAAGTTATTGAAATCATCATCNCAAAACCCCCCCCCCCCCTAAAACAGGACCAGATAAAATTCTCAGAACTGCATCAGCAACTTCAACTGCAACAAGACAGGTCCCCCACGATCAGCCCCCCCATGAGGCATTTGAGTTAGTATCAGCTCACTGAGTGCACCCATAACCGACTCGGCGAATGTTGTCACGTACAACAATGACCGTAGAGTTAGCATACAGAGTTGTTAGATCCCCGGAAATTGTTGGTATCTGCTTTATGGCCAGCTATCTTCCTCGCGATACTTTCCAGCGCAGTGGCCCCAATGCCACTCCAATCTTTCCATTAGCATCATTTGCAATTTGGCGAATGTATGTCTGTCACGTGGCCGTTGAATCAGGCCCGTCTGGATTAAGGTCTGACGCGCATTATGCCATATTCCAGCCAAACTCATATACAGTATAATAAGTAGGTACCGGCTGGGTGTAACTGCCCTCGCACCGCACGCGCCACAACTTTTCATATAACGCACCCTCAAAGTCATTTCATCTAGTATTAAACGTATTATTGTACTGATGTATATAAGCTCCGCATTTACCGTTTATTCCGCACCAATTTTTTAATGGTCTCAACGTATTTCACGACTAATTAGAAATTAAGTTGGTGTTTTATTGATCGTAATTCAAGTAGAGAAACGAGGATTCAAAATTAAGGTATTGAGACAGGAATTGTAGACATTCTACAGAAATTAATCGAGTGGTTTTATATTATTTCAATTTAATTCGCCATTTATGGGGGAAAGTGATTAATGGAAAATTTGATT